AAATTGCACTGTATAATATATTCTGAATTAATATGTTCTTGGGTTTTTTTTTTGAAATATATATATACATGTATTAATTCAACCTTAATCTGAGTTTCTGGACAAGAAAGAGGGTAAGCAGTTGAAATTTCATTCTAAATTCCATCTTTTTTGGTCTTTTCATGGCTTATGATCTATCAAATTTGTAGTTTTTTTTTATTGGTTTTGAATGTTTATCTTAAAACTCAAGTTTCTTGGTTCTTTGCTCTTGGTGTAAATCGAACACATTTGTGGAGTCGTTTAAATATGTTGGATTTTAAATATATTGGATTTTAAATATATTGGATTTTAAATTGTTATATAATTTTTTCCATCGATAGTCTATAATTGAAACCATAACTCTTATTTATTCAAATTGTATTAATATGTAAAGACTAAGTGTAACCTATATCATCGTTAAATCTTATCTTATAAAACCAGTGGAATTTTAAAATCATTAAAATTCATGGCTCCCGCAGCATTGCGCGGGTACACAACTAGTATATATATATATATATATATATATGTATGTATGTTGGTTATTATATAACCCTTTACATTTGTACAACCAATACAACCCAATCGCAACCGTCCATTTAATTTGATGAATATGTAATTTCATAAAAGTTTTGATTGTTTCCTAATATAAAATATTGATAATAATTAATAAACCTTATTCATCTTCCATAAATATTTAAATCATAATAAACGAACTCTCATCATTTCCATAAATATTTCAATTTATTGGGTTGCACTGGTTGTACAAATGTGATGAGTTGCATTTGAAACAAACTATATATATATATATATATATATATATACACACACACACACACCCCTAATCAAATGAGAACTAATTAGTTTGTGGTAACCGTTAGGTCCAATCTCAACCATAAATCAATTTTTGGTAATTTTAAATTAAAACTTTAATGCAATGACACTTTAGGTATTTTCTCTCCTCTCTCCTCTCTCCGTCCCCCGGCCTCTGTCCTCCGGTGATACCACATTGGTATCACAATGCATCTTATATGTGCTTGGGTATCACACTGAGGTTGTTTGTGTGGTCGATCGGAGATGTAACACAGTGTATCACAATGCATCTTATATGTGATTGGGTATCACACTATGTCTTTTTTGTTTAACAGAGTAAATATTTTTATGTATCACAGTGGTATCACCGGATGACGTGGGATGGAGAAAGAAGAGAGAAGAGAACATAGATGACAGAAAATACCTAAAATGTCCTTGCATTAAAAGTTTGATTCAAAATTACCAAAATTATAAGTTTCCTAATTTATCTATTGATTTGTGGTTGAGACTGAATCTCACGGTTACTACAAACTAATCAGTTCTACCTTGAATGAGCCCCTATATATATAGTACAAGTTATTAATATAACTCTTTGTAACCTCCCTTTTTATATTTCTGACTTTTTGCCTTTCTCTCCCCAAAACTCGACTTTCTATCTTCTATTTCAAACACTGTATCTCATGATATTCAAATTTCAAACACAAGCGTAACTTACAAAGGACGATATGAACTTGACCATCTCTATCTTTTCTCTCGATTTGAATGAATTCCTCCATCCCTCCAAAACCCTAGAATTTTCATCTCATACCTCTAAAAAGAAGTTTATGTCAATCTATTCTTGAACAAGGTATGTTTCTTGGACATGGTTTAATTCTGTCAAAACCCCTAAATGTACTTCTGCTCATATGATCTGTTGATGATTTCTTCCTGCTATTTTGATTCCAATTGTTCTACTCTGTTAGTGTATATGCCTAAAAGAAAATCATTGGATGATTCTCTTTGGACATTGTGTCATGATATTTACAAAATGGAAGACATTGCCAATTATTATGTTTATTTATTATTTTGTGTTATATCTAAACATAATAATAACATAAAAATTAAATGTCCCTAGATAAGTGTTAATTTGGGCTTAGGTCGGACTAATATGGTACGACTAGTAAATGAAAGGATTCATATGGAGATATAGAATCCATATATAGGTACAATATGGGATCTTGTGTACCAAACATAACTGGCCGTGAGAACGTCTCATTAGATGTCATATGGGTATCATAGACGTTTCTCAAGTTGTCATTGTATATATAGTCCTTTGACTTGAGATCATGAAGTTTGCTCTGTGTGAGTGGTGTACATTGATATTGATTCTTATCATTTCGTAACCGGGTGACTGGTAGTACTAGCTTGGATCAAGATATGATTTGTTACTCTTGTATGACGAGAATGATATCACTAGGGCCCTCGATTGTATACCAAGGAAGTGCATGCATGCTCAGATGATCAGTAGAGGATACTGATAATATATATAGGATGCTGATAATAGATATAGGATACTGATATATATATATATATATCTTATCAAAATATTCCCAATCAAGAATCTAAAAGATCAGACACAACAAGGATGATACATTCATGCCTCGTGTTCAATCTAGATTCCTGAACAAATGGACATAAACGTGTACACTGATAATGATCACATAGTTTGCTGATTAGACGAATCACAAAACTTTATCATGGACCGAACTGTCTCACGACGTTATGAACCCAGCTCACGTACCGCTTTAATGGGCGAACCGAATCTAATGCCCCAAAAACCTAATTTGGGTAACGATGATGTATTTCTAGTGTAACAACTCGTCCTACATGAATAGAAAATGATAATTATTAGTTCCTTATAAGTCCCACTTAGTGGGCTACCAATAAGTTCTATCATAGTTTTAAGTTGGATTCGAAGTTATTAGGTTAGTCCGTTGCTTTGAGCTTTGGGGGTGTTACAAATGGTATCAGAGTCAATCCTTGTACCATTGGGATGGTGGCATCTCATCAAGTATGATGAGTCCTCGAGAGGGGGCGTTTCTATCATCTTAGGCAAATCCCACATTGCCGATGACGAGGGGGAAGATTTTGGGCAGATCTGACGAGGGAGAAGATTTTGGGTAGGTCTGACGAGGACGTCAGGAG